GGGTTGTTAGCCCAGGGTTAAAAACAGTTTGGAGTTAGGTACTAAGCTGGAGTTTGTAGTTCGGTTTACAAATTAGGGTTAAGTTTTCAGTGCGATGCAATGCTCTGTCACACTTCTGTCCACAAACCCAGGAAACTCAGAATAAAGTGGATGCGCTTTAACACCCGTGCTTTGTATGACAGTTCAAGCATTATCCAAAACTCACATTTTAGTTTTATAATAAATATGTTTATTGATTTTAAGGACCAATTACAGCCATTTTTATACTTCGTTTAAATGCCAACCTATAAGCAAAGTAACTAAAAATATCCGTCACCAACTACACGAAACAACACGAGTATTTATGTTGTTACCTACAAGAATTCTATTCGTATAAACATTAGAGATATGATTAAGTTATGTATCTTCCAATCACTTTTCAGTAGAAATATCATATTTGGTTCGGCGGACCTCTATTGTGTTTCAATCATTTAAACTTTACACTTATTTTGTTATGAAAAGTAGCGTGAATGTTAAACCAAAAGTATACTAATAAAGTGAACAGATAGATATATTTTATCACAATAACTAGTCAGAATGTACATGGTAAACTTTGAGAAGAACTTTTAATGGAGGAAATGAGATATTCCGAATGTTTGAATACTTAACAGTTAAAATGATGCTTATTAAAACAAGCGTTGATGAACAAAAACGAAATGAAGTTTTAGAGATTAAAGCTAAATTAAAGGAATTCTGCAAAATTTACTCACCGGATTGTTGATATCTGAGGTTATTTAGAAATAAAATACTTGCTAGTTATTATACAATAATTAAAGTACGAAAATTACTATATGTTTACAACAGTCAATTTACGTGCTCAAAACTACTGACTTTTACAGTGCCATTCGAACAAACATTTGATGATATTGCTTGAAAAAATATAAACTACTTAGAATGAAACTGAACTGTTTTTATGATATTTACACGTGCCTTCAAGCAATTCATTGATACATCAGTTTTATAGATTTATTTTAATAGTTTTTCGTTGCCTTAGTTACACGTATCAATTGTTATTACTGATAATGTATCATTGTCGTTGTACGCACACAACTGTCTTGAGAATGAGGCAAATCGTTAAAAGTGAATTAGTTTTGTGATACAAGTACTATTTTCTATGCATATCATAGCTCGGGAATATTCGTATTTTATTCTGACACAGATTCATTTTAATGCTCTATTTTACGAAGGTAAAGTGATCGAAACATGGAGTAGTTAATGAGAAAATTTTTATGCAAATTATTGTTAAACATTTATATTTAAAGGCCATACTTTCTTCGTCTAACGAACTGAGTAGAAATGAGCATTCTATTTTGAAAGTTATTAGTGAAGTTATTGATTCTGACTGAGCGTTTTTCACCTATGGCTGTAATAATAAATAAGCTTGTTAAAGTACTATTGTACTTTCACTTTCATGAATGTAATATCTTCTATGTTTTAATTAATGATAACTTAGCCGAACTGATAAAGTTGTGTTCTGTGAATTCATTCAGTGATTTCTGGCTAATCAGATAAAGTTTTCCTCAAGAAATGAAAACCATAGTGTATCAGACAGATATTTTGTTTCACTTGATAACTCTTTGGGAACGTATGCCTGAATCTCAACATTAAAATATCAACAAGTAATTTAAATTATGTTTGAAACACTAATTTTTTTTTAGGACCAATGAATTAAAATACATCACCCTAAGATTTATTATGGAACAGTGTGAACATCATGTAGTTCCTCATCCGCTTTTAGTGTGTAAGAGAAACTATCCAGAGATTGTATTAATCTCTCTCAAACCACATCCAACATACATCAACATTTCTTGTCTAACAAGAATGAATCGAAAGTGATCAACATTAAAAATTAATATGTGGTTTAAAAGTTAAATTCTTTTTTTTAAAAAAAAATAATACTCAACTGTAATGTTAATTTTTCTTTCCACAGTTGAATATTATTTTTCTTAATTGCCAAATCAATATCAAAATTATTTATTATCATGTTTTGTGAATATTTGAAAAGAAAAACTATTGATAAACAATAGTTGTGTACATATGAATAAATAATCAGTAATTGCTAATTACTCATGAAATATTAGGGAATAATGATTAGTCATTCAATGTATATTTATATATATTGGCAGGAAACATGAAATATATCAAACGATAAAAAGTTGTTTTTTTTAAGACTGAATGGAAATAGATCTAACTAGAGAGTTGAAAAAGGAGTATGAGAAAAATATTCTGCTAATTATACGCTGAAATAAGTCCTGTAATCAAGAATATTGATTAGTTCAGCTGGTATATTCGTTACTAAGGTTGCTTTTCATTTGAATAATCATTAATATTTGTAGAAGTTGGATTATATTTGTAGATGGCACTTTACACAGGTTGACAAGATTTAAGACACCATTGAAAATAAAAGAGAATTGGATAGTCATTTCAACTTAGCCAGTTTATGATTTAATAAAGAATTTAATAAAAGGTTTGTGAAAATTATTCATTTCAAAGTTATTTTGATTATTGATCAGATTTAGATAGGAAAACATTACAAGTTAGAAATACATACAGCTTTGATCATGATTTAAAAGACTGAAAGCATCAATGTGTCATGTAATCCCAAGTTCCTCGGAATTATTCAAGTATTACAACTGCTGAGAAGTTCCGAACTAACATGAAAAATTTATTTTACATGATATTTATAGTTTTCGATAGTGTTATCAAATTAATGTTAATCTCTCATTAAAGATAACTTTGAATTTCAAAGCTTTTTTCTAACCAACAATAACGAATGACTGACAAGTAGAAAAAAGACTCACAATGCATAGTTTTTTTTTACTTACTTAAATGAATAACGTTGATCACTTTATGAAGAGAATTGTCAGAATGCTACTATATTTTTATTCTACAGGAAATAACTCAAAAATAATTACAAAAAATTATTCCTACAGTAGATTTTTTCTTATTTGAAAGTTAAATAGTTCAAAAAAAATTATTTTAGAATTATTTAGAATATAACAATCTGTTTTGTTGCAAGTTTAGTTAAAAATACCAAAATTATTTAATTTTTTTCAGAAAATTTGTTGACTTTTCTTCATGCAGTAGTTAGTAATTATTTACCATTCATGATTTCTATGTGTAAAAACAATGATAGCAATAGTTTTATTTAATTATAAGGAAATTCATATAGTTAACGAAGTTTTTTAGAAATAGATTTAATAAATAAGTTCGATTCGTTACAGACTGATCTTAGTTAATGCACTATTAAAGTCATTGGACAGCTTTTTAAATAAGATCAAGAAGGATCAAGTAGTCCTCAGAGATAGTCATAAGAAAAAAAATATGGTAATATAAAATTACCTTACTCTATCATATCATATTAACATAATGTGGCATAACATCATTGAAATCATGAATCGATCATTACTAGAACACCATTAGGAACTTAGAAGCACTGTACTCATCCTAGTATAAGAAGCGTGTGTCCACAACCCTCACACGTGGGATTCGAACCCAGAACCTTCGGTTTCGCACATACGCTTAGCAACTGGATCACTGAGCCGACTCTCAAGTAAATTAATGTCTAACTTCAATCAATCCACAACAGTATTAGATAACTGCCTCACATCTGACATATGTTGAACCCCACTGGTTACGGCTTCTCACTAGAATTTAGAGGATTTCCTCACGAAGCTATTTACTAATGGGCGAAATGACTGATTCATGATTTCAGTGAAACTCAACAATTTCTACTACCTTATAATGAAAAAAGTAACATAATATACTGACTGTTATTTAACATTCGATAGTGACACGGATTTTAATGGCACAGTACATCGACTCCGTTAGCATCTAGGAACCCGCTAACTAAGTCGTCAAATTAGCAAAATAACTGATGATGTAACTGTATACAGTTAAGTGAATTATCACTGTAAATGAGCTAATAACACTATTATATCACTTTTGATCTGGTACAGATTATCTACAAATGATGTAAACTACTTTCATTGCATTTAAATAGTTTACAGGCTTGTCTACTGACAATTAGTATTCTTAAACTATACAATGTTTAACAGACAAATCATTTACTTATTTCTAAAACTGTCTGAGCAGATTGAAGATAAGATGATAAAGTATCCAAATTGGCAGCCTTTTTAAATGATAACTATTCATTTTGTTTTCCAGATAATTGTTCTATGTAAATTATCTACTACACCTAAAGATCTATACGCTCATTGTCATATTTCACCAAAAAATAACGCGGCACAAACTAGGTGCAAATATTAGAGTCCAGACACCATATGACGACGAGTCATCTACGTATCATAGTACCCTTTTTGTTGATCCATAATGTAGGGAGTGAAGTGTCCCTGAAGTACAACAGTGAATGATGTCTCTGTCTTACAACTGTAAATATTAGAATGCTGTATAAAATATCACATTCCAAGACGTTCATGCTTCAGTTTCAGGGAATGTTTGTGGAAAAACTAAAGTTTATTATATTCACTGTTAAGATGCGCGTTATTTTCATTATATTGAATAATTTGTACTGACATTACCAAGTAGTAGTTTTCATTATCAAATCAATAATCGCTGAAAACTAAAATGTTAGGGGTATCTCAGTAATTCACATTCCCAGCTCAACAAGGAATTTAAATCCGAACTTTTATAGCTTACAGCAATTGCGTTCTATTAAAACACTGAGGCTGCATCTAGTGATCCTTATCAGTTAGTTCTCGGTTCGATATCAACTTCACCGAAAACTATTGATGATATTTCTATCACTCCATGCAAAACTGAACTCCACTAATTACGACTTATCATCAGCTGCCTTTCAATATCTGAAGTAAAACAGTCTGTGATAAAAAAAGCACTATTTCACAATGAACAATCATTGGATTTTATTTTAATAATTCACAATTTGTTAACGCTCATTTTACAGACAACGAATTAACAAATTAGTAAAATAGCAGACTTACCTAAATCTGATTCATCGCCATTATTTATTTGATCGGGACTGAGAATTGTCACGTGAGAGCATAATGCTTCTGCATCAATAGCAGCTTTAGTTATCAATAAACCTTTACGTTCATCTACACTAAATAATGTTGAAGGTGAACCCAGTGTGTAGGTTAACGCTATAATTTGTCCAAATTCATTTGTAGATGAATGTGTCATTGATGAAGGCATGGAATTCGACGATGTGATTGCATTTATTGTACCGATTTCTGTACCGATTGGACAATTTTCATCAATACTAAACTCGGTTGAATACACTTGTAGCCTTGGTATTCGTCCATGTGTTGTATTTGATGAGATAATCGTGAAATATATTAAAAGATGAAGCAGAAAATACTGTTTCATGTAATGTATAACATTTTCAGTGTGTACAATTGCCTTCATGTCCCGGAATCGAAAGAAGTTTTGTTCACTAAATTAATATTGATTTTTCGTGTAAGATTGTTTCAAAATGATGAGTAAAAAAAATTGTAAAAGGAAAAAGAATTGTTAATGTGTATATCTTATTAAATTTTAATATTTTTTAAAAGAAATAAATATGTGTTGGAGTTATTCAAACGTTTGACTTCGCGATTTCTGTTTTTGTTCGGAATATACTTGACTTTTTCAACTTCTATAGTATTACCCTAGTCAAATTGAATTCAATGCTAAGTAGAGGACGAGTTCCGGTTGGTATCTAGTGACTCATACAAATAGATAAACAATCCCCTACCACCCCAAAATATATGACCTACAGTTTTACACTCTCCCCCTTGTTTATGACAATCCGTTTCCACTTTGTTTGCGTATCTATCGGCCAATCAGAATGCGAGAAATTAATAAGTAGATTAGACAAACTATTTTCTGAACTGTCCCTCATTTAGTTATGAACTTGTAAACCAACTTCTGTGAGATTTCTGCTTTGGTAGGTTAGAAAAGAATGAGTTTTACAAGGTTTTCATTGTCAATGAAACCCAGTTAACTGAAACTATATGACGCATAGGATCATATCATTAAATAAGCATGAAACAAACATTTGTATGTTGTTTGTTCAGTTAACACACACTCATTTATGGTTAAAGACTGTGATAATATTGTCTTGGTAAGTCTATCTGTTTCTTTTATGTAATTTCACAATAGATGTTTTGTTAGTGAAACTGTAAATGTACAGTTCGAATGCATTTTGTTACAATCTTAAGCATAAAAAACATCATTTGTAATTCGGTGTAACATGACACGTTGGGAGTAAATTTTCACCAGGCACTTTACGTTGCTGATAAATATAAACATGTACAGTCTTTTGCAGTGTTTTTCAAGCATATGGAAGGTATCTTCTGACTAAATGAATACGCTCTCAAAACACTAATTTATAAGCACTTTTACGAAGATTTGAACGAGTATAATCATAATAATTGGTCACCAAGTAAATATAAGTAATTAGAAGTACATTCACATATGTTTAGTCCTAATTAGAACTCTTCTTCCATGTCAAAGTTGATGACCACTCACGGATTCGAACCCATTATCATTTGCTTCAAATACCATTGCGTTATCTACTCAGCAGCCGAGTCCAGGTAGCACTTCGCTTGTGCAACGAATATGGAATTTAATTCAATTTGAAATGGTTTAGATTATCTCTCTGTTTTTGACTGAATTCTCGGTTACTTTTGGTTGTGTGGTCCCCTTGCTGCTGATCACCCTAATATAGCCACTATTACACAAGCTAATCTAGAATATATGTAATGTGGCAAGCAACTGAATCTACAAACAATTCAAGACTGATCAAGTTTAAGTCAAAAATAGGATAAGATAATTCAAATAATTTTGAATTGATAAAAACTTTAAGTCTGAATGATTAGTATCACAGTAGTTAGACTCCAAGTTCATGTAAGACATTAAGGAAGAAAATTACAGTATGGGGTGAGTTTATCCACGAACCACTCAACACATTTTTCGTCTTAAGGAATTACCAACTAGGATTCTGTCAAAGATCAACCCTTGGATGTTTTATCCTCGTCATAAGTTTAATACACTTTGATTATTGAGTTGAGATTCAATAGTCCCAATTTCGAACTCCATTTGGGAATATTAGTGGACCACATTCTTATGATTTCATGAATACGCATTGTTAAGGAGTCACTTATTGGAATTAAGTAGATGTTCAGTCTCATAATTTTCAATGATAGTCTGCTTAAAATTAGCCCATGATGTGACGTTTAAACAAAGAGAAACTAATTGGTCCTAGTGTGGTTACAAATGATGGAACTAGGATATTAGATCTTCATGTGAAGATCAAATATCCCTAAAATGGACTTTGTTAAAAGAAGTTAACAATCGAATGATATTTATCATTAATGACTGAAAGCCTTATGTCGATAATAGAAACTTAGTTTATTGTATAATTATGCTTTTCGGTACATTTTTGACTGTTTGCAACCAATATAACTAATAGATTTACAGTCAGTCAGTCAGTTACAACGTAGAACTTCGTACGTAAGTACATCAGTTCAGGTTGCCATACCGCATCTGCACAGAGACGCAACTGCCAGTTCAAATCCAATAGGTTAGAGACAGAAGTATTAGCAGTAATGGAGACGATTAGGGGATGAATACATGATTCGAGAAGTATAATTGAGTGAGATATCTTTAGAGGAGAAAGATAGAGATAATGAAGAATGAGGAAGGTTAGAATTTGAGAGAACTCAATGAATTTATGCACCTGCGCCATCGCAAACGATTCTGAGCCATGTTGTTCAAGGTCTCTAACCATCGGTTACTATTATCTTGCGGACCCCATCCAAGTAGTCGACACCTACCGACATGACTCAGTCCACTTGTCAGAGACTTCATGGATTTCTGCCAAGTTTTGGTCTGGCCGCCCCTAACTTTCTTCCAGCCCAAACCTTCACCACAAAACATTGCTCGTCGAGGCAGTCGGTAGTTGGTCATTTACAACACATATCTCAACCACCTCAACTGATGAAGTTTCACTACTTCATCTATTGACCTGCCATCCCTACCTAGTAATCGTTTCCTAACTGTAGCATTGCTTTTTCGGCTGTCCCAGGATATACGAGCAATGCTTCGAAGACACTTACGGTCGAAAATAAGTAACCTATGAATATCTTCTATTCTGACTGGTCATGTTTCGCATCCGAATAGTAGGACGGAGCGAAGTACTGCACAGTAAACTCGTCCTTTGGTTAGCAATCGGACATCTCGCCTACGCCATAAATGACATAAATTGGCTTTATGCAGGAATTTCGCCATTCACCAGGCCATCAGCACTGATGAGACTCCCAAGGTGAGTGAAGTGGTTTACACGCTCAACTACTTCACTCCCTATCGCTAATTCAGGCGCCGACGCAAGCCAATCTTGAAGCAACATTTCGCATTTCGAGGATGAGAACCGCATCCCAAACATAGTTACATTATTGCTTAGGGTAGACAGAAGGCTCTGTATATTATCAGCGTCTTCGCCGAATAGGACTATATGATCAGCATATTCTAAGTTTCTCCTGGTTAAAGGGCCACTCTTGAAAAATCAAACGATAATAATTTTAACTCTAAAAGCATATCTACGACAAAGTTAAAGAAGAACTGGGAGAGTGGACAGCCCTGAAAGACACCATTTGTAGTAACGAATCCCGAATGCAGTTTGTCATAGGCTCTCACTCGACCAGTAATGTTCGAACCTATATAAGGTTACTGTACTTCTTTTGTACACTTTTTAATGTCAGACACTACCAGAGTCGAATGCCGCCGTAAGTTTCAGCAAGACAAGTATTTTGGGGCGTCTGAATGTGTTTCTATGTTCCAGGACCTGACGAAGTGTGAATATGTGGTCTATACAGCCAGGTCCATGTCCGACACCAGCCTGGTTTTCTCGAGTTTGCACTTCACGACTCTAGTAAGGCGTCGAAATATTATCGAGGCTAACATTTTAGACACTATATTATTCGAACTGATTCCTGTGTGATTATCACAAGAGGACTTTTGTCCTTTTGTGAAGACTGGGTCTGTCAATGAGTGAGACCAGTTAGATGGGACTACACCAGATTTCCAGATTCTACCTTAGATCTCAACTAATTTCACTGCTAAAACTTGACCACCATCCTTAAAAATCCCAGGGACCAATCTATCAGGGCCCGCTACTCTCCCTCACCTTAGGTTACCTTTTAGCTTTCTCAGCTTCATTAAGACATCAAGGAATTGCATCAACTTGGTATTAAGGTTGATTGGAGATCGTGGGTAACCGAATTGTCGCTGAAGGTCAGTTGAACTACTCCTTAAAGTATTCTGTCCGTCTATCCAATTTCCTGGATTGAGAATGAATAATAGTCACATCCTTTTATGAGATAGTTTCAGTTACAGTCCAATCTCTGATACCGGTTTCTTGATAAGACGGAACAGTTGTCTACTGTTGCCTATCATTGCTGCCTTTTCCATCTCCCTCTGGCTTTCATTAACTACCATTGTTCGTTATCAATACCTTGGCGTTTTATCAGCCTACCCTGAAGCTGATTTCGCCCTTCGTCATGTTCAGAACTAGGTGGGTGCATCTATCAGTTCGGGAGATACTACTGAGATCCACTGCTGTCTCCACAGCTTTTTGGATATCATTTTAAGCTGCCTCCGGATGGGAATCACTTACTACATGGCTGCTTAACTGCTTTTCTAGTTGTTCCCGAAATATATTCTTAGCTATTCTATTATTAAGTAGGACCTTAATAAGTATCCCTGCGGTGTCTTTACTGCTTCCAGTAAGTCTTTGACAAATACGTGGTCGCACCAGAGCATGATCTGAATCTAAATAAGTTCTCCAGAATGAGTGTTAAATTACTTTGAATTAGTGATCATTTAGAACTTTCTGTACAGAATACATACCTAAATCTCTGCAATAAAATTCTTTTGCTTAGGTATGTTGAATGCTAATCATGAAGTTTTAAGATGATTTATAATTTTTTATAGTCTTCATTTTACAAATCATATGTTTATCTAAATTCCTTCGTTAATTTTGACATTACATCTATTCAATAATATAAGAGCGTCAGTAGCGAGCGACTTTGCGCTATTTACTTAGTTGCTGTATAACGATCATGAATAAAGGGATAACAGATCAACTAAATATGTGTTATTTATACACATATCAACTTCCTACTTTGATTAGATCACGTACATGTTGTAACAATATCACAAAATTACTATTGATGTAATCCTCTCTAAAATTAGGACTTAAAAGACAATGTCATGTGTCGAATAGCATACATTGGTAAGACACCAGTTTTAGATTTTTCATAATGGAATGAGTAAAAGAGACATTTGATACGATAAGCTTTATGAAATTTATGTCAGTTTGTAAGTAATTACTTGAAGCTGTTTTTCGAATATGTACTGATTACTTATGGAATCATATTTGAATATAAACACCAC